AGTTGTGTTTTGGGTACATCTTCAGGGGCCGACAAATCTCCCTGCACAAAGCTTTTCACCTGTGCAAGCAGTCGTGCCTGTGTGAAAGTGAGAGGTGGTTTTAGCGCCTTGCTCATCTTGAGATTAAGTTTGGCAGGTCTGGGTTTATAGCAGAAGGGTCACACGTGCCCCCCGGCCCCCTTCAAGCATCTAAGGGGTCTGACTAAAGTGGCTTTTGAAAACCTGAGCTGTATTTATCCTCCAAGGGTTGTCAGGGCTACAAAAGAGCTCTGCTGATCCCAAGGAAAATTCCTGGGCTGCCTTTTTCCTCTCCGCCATCTTCCTACTGGCTGCCCTCCGACCATTCTTCCCTGGGGATATAAAGACAGGTGTCAAAAAAAGGACTGAGCGATATGAAAGTTGCTCGGATCGCTCCTCGGAAGGCTGCTGAAGTCTCGTGGATGAACTGAATGCCAAACCCACAGTGCTCAAGTCCCAGACTCCTGTCCGACTTCCTTCTGTTAATGATTATTAATCAGTCAGATGGCTGATTGCTTGTTATGTTAAATTCCTCCATTCCCTCCTTGACTCTTTTCTTTTTCTTTTTTTTTTTTCTCCCCTTGGGCTGTTCAGAAATCCCTTCACTGGAATCAGAGCCCCCAAAGACCTGCTTTGTGGGTGACAATGTGACCCTGACATGCCGTGTGACCGAGAGCACCCCGGCAGCGAGGCTCACCTGGCTGCGGGGCATCACCCAGCCAGAGGTGGAGATCCAACCCGGAGGAAGGTACCTCATCGCCCAGGAGGGCAACGTGTCCCGGCTCACCATCCGGAACTGCTCCCAGGGCACCGACGGGGGCTGTTACGTCTGCAAGGCACAGAACCCCGTGGGGCTGAGGGAGTTGTTCGTCTGCCTGACAGTGAAGCGTGAGTGGGGCTGCCTGGGGTTGCTGCGGCAGGGAGTGAGGAGGAATCAGGGACCTAGTTCATGGGGGCCATTGGCGAGCCCCTGAGGGGCTCCGTTTGCCACTAGGAGCCCTCTTTGCCTGTTGACACTTTCCATGCTCTTGCGGCAAGTGTAGATGCAGGACTGGCTCCCTTCATCCCGGGGTGAAAAGGCCTGATTCCCCTCGCCTCGGCATAATGGGCCTGAGAGAGGAGCATCCTTGGTCCCTCCTGTAGGTTGTGGGCACAGAGGAGCACCTCCAAGGCTCAAGCTGCTCAAGGTGCAACGGGCAGGGGTTGATTTGCTTTCACTAAATGCACGTGGGCACAAAAATAGGGGCCTTGCTGTGGTGTTTTCCATATCAATGAAGCACGAGTGCCTGAAACTCTCACCCCTTGTGCAGGTGGGACTGTTGCAATGATGGGAAATGGGAGCTGAGACAGCACCAGGACCTGCTCTATTGCTTGCACTGAGATTTCCTCATCCATCCATGTCCCGGTGACAAGCTGGCCTCCTGTGTCTCCTCTTCTCTCCGCAGAGCCGGTGAACATCGTTGGGGTCGTGGGTGCAGTGGTGGTCCTGTCCCTGCTGGCTATTCTTACCGTCACTGCGGTTGTCTTGTACTACAATCCCCTCCTGTGCCTGAGAGGTAGGAGCTCTCCTCTGCACAAGCCAGGGAGGGGGTTACTTCTTCCTGGGGTGGTCTGGTTTTACCCCTAACCTGCTTGTCCCTTCTGGTGTGCTGTGACGATCACCCCAGCCCTTGGGCCTCATCCTGCTCCTGGTCCAAACTCTGTCAGCCCTGGAGGCAGATGGGTTGGAAACACAAGGCCCTTCCCCAGCTGAGTGCTTCAGGCACCTTCCCCTCGCCTTCTCCAGGGAGCTGTACTGTGATGGGTCTTCTCCCCTTTCCTTGTGACCTTTCTGGTGCTCTCGTTGCGTACGTGGGCAGGTCACCTTCACGTCCGTGCCTCTACATGTGGCTGCCAGAGACCATCCTACCGCAGGCAGAATCGGCCGGGGTCGTACAGTAAAACCAGCAGCGCGCTGCCCAAGGGACTGCTCTGGGGCCGGTTTCTAACGCTGTCTTTTCCCTTCCCTTCTCTCCCATTCAGGTGCTGCATTCAGGTGAGTGTTGATTTTCCTCAGCCCAGTCCTGCGTGGCCTCGCTAGTCCGCCTCCTGGCAGAGGTGATCTCCCCGTAGGGTGGGGAATCCACCTCGGAGGCAGGAGCCGTCCCCGGAGCAAAGCTGTTCTTACGTGGGAAGGGAACGGTGGGGGATGAGTGAGACTTGGTGTGGGTGAGGGAGCAGGAGGGTGGGGAGAGAGGGGAGCCCCTGGCGTCACAGCAGGAGTGGCATCGCGTTGGCATGCGCAGGGACGGTGCTGGCAAGGCACCCGTTAGTGTGGGAGGAGGCTGTGCAGGAGAGCTGCTCCTTGGTGCAGGTGAGCCCGAAGACTCGGAGAGTAAATAGAAATGGCGATCTTCTGCCGCTCTGCGTGGGTGTGTGCCCGTGTCCTTCCCCTCTCAGGAAGCACGTCTGATAGCTGTGCACGAACAAGTGCCGCCTTGGGGTTCAGGTGCACCAGATTTCTTCCCCGCTTTCTGCTCGCACCCCTCCTGGCCCTGCTCCCTTCCCTTGCCCCTGTTGGTCCTGTTCCCACAGCTGTGGTGCTGCGGCATGGAAGGACTCTATTCTGGGTGCCGCCAGTTCCCCGTCTATACGGGAGGGGAGAATAACTCCGCTTGGGAGGGGTTCACGCAGTTTAGTACATGAATATTTGTGAAATGGTTGGAGGACTTTGGAAGGCGAATAGGAAGCAGTGCAGAATGCCGGTGGTGGTGGTGCTGCCAGCAGGGTCTGAACCAGCTGTTCTTCAAACACGGTTAGTGCAGGATTGGAAGAGTCCATCAAAATTGGTCGTTTGGGGGTAGAGGGTTGTCAAAGCCAGGGGAGGCAGAGGCTGGAGGGAGGGGTCAGGGCAGGCTGTCCTCAGCCTTTCAGCCCACTTCTCCTTGCTCTGCTGTTCACAGGAATCAGGACTCGGGTGACATCTTAGTGCTGGTAGACTCGGAAGATGACGATGAGGGGAAGGGGGAAGAGGAGACCATGAGCAGCTCCACCAAGCACGAGACGATGGCGCTGGTCAATGGGAGCAGCGTCCAGGCTGCTTACCTCAACTGCCTTATGGAAGGTGAGCCCCGGTGCCTGCCCGCTGGCCGAGTTTTGGGGCAGGAGCCGCCTGCTCTCCAGCAAAGCTGTGGGTCTTCCAGGAGCAGCTGCCGGGGAGGGAGGAATCCCTGTTGTCTGGCTTGTTGGCTCTTGCTGAGATGCTGCTGCTCTGTGCCCTGCGTAGGTGACGATGGCGAGCAGCACGGCGGGGTCTCTCCGCAGGAAATGAGGGGAGAAGAGACGCGAGGCACATAGTTTCCATCCCTTCTTGCAGAAGCACACAGAGCTCCGGCTGGACGCCCAGCGTCAAGCACGTCCTCGTTGCCGTGTGGCTGAGCACGGGCCGTTAGTGTCCTGCAGCGGGCTGGTTCGGTCAGAGCATCCCAACTTCTTTCTCCACTCACCCCTTCCCCAGCTTTCACTCCGTCCTTTCCCAGCCATGTTTTTCCATTTCTTCCCTCCTCTTTTCATGTTCCTCTTTGTCTCAGGTGTCCTTTTTAGCACCCAGCGCAGGCAGAGCTCGGGAAGTGGGTCCCAATAGCCCACTCATCTTGATGCCTGTGACGGACTCGAGTGCCAGTACGGGATTCTGGCCTAGTCACCGTGAGCAGTGCTGGGGTTGCAGGGAGTGTGATGGAGAAAGTTGCCGCGGGGCCGCAGTGGTCCCGGGATAACGGAAGCAACAACTGGTGCATGGCAGGACGTGGGTGATGCTGAGTCTAGGGAGGCTTAATTGTTTTTTTGTTATAAATATTTTTTCCCCAAGTCCGTCTGAAATGTTGCTCCGTATCGAAGTTGGGAGTTTATCCGTACCTTGCGGTGTGGTTTTGAGGGGGATGCCTGGCCGTGATGGAAAGCAGGGAGGGAACTTGTACAGGGAGGGGACGAGGGGAGCAGGATCCGCACGGAGAGGATCAGGGCAGCTGTGGAGGGGAACTGTAGGGTGGGTAACAGAGGGGCCAGAGCGTGCAGGAAGAGACGGAGGGACAGATCAAGTCTGAGCACCCTGCAGGGGTAAATGGAGGGACTGAAAAGGCACACCACGGGCAACGGAGAGGAGCGGCGTGTTCAGAGGGGAGCAGGGAGGGATCTGAGCTTGCATGGAGGGAGAAGGAAGGGATCGACACACGCGCATGGGAATGGCCAAACAGAGCAGGATGGGGTGGGACGGAGGTTGGAGGCGGGTGGAGGGCTCTGCAGGAGGGTAACAGAGGAACAAACTGCCTAAAGTGGGGAGTGGTATGAGGGTGTGTGTGAAGGGTGATGGAGGAGTGCACACAGGGGATCTGAGTGTGTGTGGAGGGTAACAGGGAACGTGAGCACATACACCGGGGGAAGGAAGGGGACCTGACGGCACGTGGAGTGGAAAGGAGGCGCTCCTGGGGCACGCGGGGAGGAGCGGTGTATGCACCATGGGTGAAGCGTCGGGGTCTGAGCCGTCCCTGGGATGTGGATAAGAACAGCGTGAGATGGAGGAGAGCTGAGGGAGTACGGGGTGGGGGGGGACCTGAGCACTTGGCGGGGCGGTGGTTGGGGTCCGGTTGTGCGTGGTGGTCTCTGAAGGGACCTCTGAACGGAGGTTTCTGAGGGGCTGGAGCAGGGTCTGAGGGCTGGGGGGGACGGGAGTGCAGGCGGGAGGGCCTAGAGCCCCAGAGGGAAGAACCCTGCTGGGACCGACCTGCAAGCTGTCCCCGAGGAGCCTCTGCGCGGGCCCTGGGGGAGCGGGGCAGTGCCCAGCACCCCGCCCTCGCGGGCGATGCTCAGAGCCATGCCGGGAAAATCCCAGGGAGCTGCGGGAGCCTCCGGCTGCCCCTGGCAACAGTGTTGTGCTGCCGCCATCTCGGCTGCCCCGCGTCCCGGCTCCTCCGCGCCGGCCCCTCGGCGAGGAGGAGGCACCGGGTGAGATGGCCTTCAACCTGGAGGAGTATTTGCGCACGGCTTTCCGGGACAAGCTGCGGCTGCAGTGAGTGGGATCCCCCCGTCCTCGCTGTGGGACGGGCAGCTGCCCTCCCGGCTCCCACGGCGGATGCTGCTGGCTGGAGGCGAGGGAGGGCTCGGCAACGGGGCCAGCACGTCCCACGTCCCCGGTGGTCTGTCGGTTTATGTTGCCATCGCTGGGTCCCCAGGGTGCCACTGCCAGGGTGGGTGTCACTGGCTGGGTGCTGGGTCCCCAGGCAGGGGGGCTGTGGTGTGTCCCCACCTGGGGCACCCAGGGAGGAAAGGGCAGCCTGGTAAGTATCAGGGGTCCATCTCCGCCTGCACCCCGTCCAGAGATGCCAGGTCACTTGAGTGCCCACGTGCTGCCCAACACGCTCCTGGGTGGCTTTCACATGGGTCCCCCCCCCTCCGGCAGCAGCGCTCCTGCTGCCACTCTCGGAAACGGGGAGCTGCAGAGCCTGTTGCCCTGCTGTGGGTGGCGGGGAGGCAGGGGGTTCCCAGGGGTCTAATCAGAAAGCTGAGGTTGTGCCACGACTTGTCCTTTTCCTGGGACACTGCGGTGGCACTGGGGGTCTCCGAGCAGGGGGAGGCTGAAGCGGGAGGGATGGGCAGGAGCGAGGGTGGGTGATGGGAGAGCAGGCCAGGCTCCCCGCGCTGAGCCCCGGCAGGCAGTGGTGGTCCCTGGGGGGGTCCTGGTCATGGTGGGTGACCCTGCCTGGGCTGTCCCCACCCGGCCACGATGAGCTCCGCGCGACCCGCAGCAGGACGGTACCGGCGTGGGATGCTGCCGTGCTGCTGCCCTCCACGCGCTTGCTGCTGAAGAGGCGGGAGGTGGCGGAGGTGGAGCGGGTGCTGCAGAGCCAGCGGGAGGTAAGGACGGCCCCCAGCCCCTCCACGCGCCCCCTCCCTGGGGGCTGCAGCCCTGGCTGTGGCATGCCATGGGATACAAGCAGCCAGTGCGCACATCCCCAGCCATTCATGGGCTGGTGCTCGTGTCCCCCCCGGGCACCCTGGCATGGGGCGATGCTCTCACCACCCAGTGGTCCCACAGGAGTTTCGGCAGAGGATGGAGCGCCTGGAGCAGCGCTGGCAGCAGCTGGGCCAGCGGAAGGATCAGCTCCAGGATGTTGTCCTCAAATTCAACGTCTTCCTCAAGGTGCCAGGGCGGGGGCCAGGGCTGGGCGGGCCATCGGGGACCTGCTGACCCCGTCCCCACACCGCAGGCTTCGGCGGCGAGGCAGGAGCGGGCACTGCGGCGGGCAGAAGAGGAGTGGGCGCGGGCGGCGGGACAGGGTGCTGAGGCTGCCCGCCTGCGCCAGGAGCTCACGGGGCTGCTACAGCGCAGGGAGCACCTGGCCCGGCGCCTGCGGAGCCTCCAAGGCTTCGGTGACTATCTGCAGGGCGTGCTGGCCAGAACGGAGCAGGTGAGCACAGAGGTCCCCGTTTTGCGGTCCCACCCTGCATGTCCCTAAGCCCCTTGCAGGGGGCCAACCCCGTCCAGGGCAGCAGCCTCTCAGCCCCCTCCCGCTGCCCAGTTCCAGGACGTCCCAGCCATGCTGGCCCATTTTGGGGTGCTGGTGGGGGCACAGGCAGCCCTGGCGCAACAGGCAGAAGCTGGGCAGGAGCGGCTGGCCCAGGGCTGGGCACGGCTCCGGCGGTACCAGGAGGAGGCCAGCAGCGAGCTCCTGCGCACCAACAATGAGCTGACCCAGCTCCGTGCACGCCTGGAGGCCGCCCGCCATGAGGTGCTCCAGGAAGTAAGGGGGGACGTGGG